GAAGTTCCTTGTTCATTGGCAGCTGGTGTTAGAAAGCAACATAATCTGTTTCTGACTCATCCTCAAGAAACTGAGACTATTTCACTTCTCAGTTAAAGACAGAAAAACTTTCATGAGTCTCCAACTACTCATGTAAACTAAAACATGTAAACACACACACACTCATGTATCCTGTACACACACATGTATTACAGTGTTTCTCAGTCGCTTCGGTACATTTCTCAGATCAGAATTGAAATTCTCGAAAGTACTTGTTCAATCTTCACATCATTGTGTCGCTGCTTATGTCACGTTGATCAAAATGTATTATAATGGGTCTCTGTTGAATAGTCTCACCGCCCACAACATTTAGTCATTAGTGCATCACATAAGTCTTTACATGCAAAGTGTTTGAACAAGTTGTCTGAGTATGTCCGGCATATTTCTATACATGTGCATTAGACTTTTTTTCTAGATCTGTCCTGAATTGGTAAATTGCTTCCGTCAGGAGGTGAAGGGAGACTGCACTGTGATTCCTGCAGCACCACATGTGCAGTTTTCTCTAAGGAGCTCGTCCTTTGTTCACATTTCTACCTTTGTCTTTTCCTTTCTGTATCGCGATGACACGGTCTGTCAACAAGTTACAGTGCAAACAGTGAACGCGTAAATGTGAATCTTGTCCAGTTGCAATCGATCTCCCACATACACTAACGTGTGACTTCCAATTTACAATAATTGTCTTCAAAACTTCAGCCACAGTTTGAATCAGAACATCCCTCCAGAGTACACGGTTATATTGACAACAGGACTAATCAATTTGTCTGTCTCATCCGCACACAATGACACAAGGACTTGTCGTTCTGACGCCACTGACATGTTCATTGACACAGATATTTTCTTTTGACAGACGAACTAAGGATTTTGCAGGTCATCCATGGTGTTTTGCTATTTGTACGAATTGTCTTGAGAAATGCACTTACTGTTTTGCAAATGTCGAGGACGAATCGGGAAATGTACCAAAGCAACTGAGAAAAACTGTAAGACTCGTATCTCGTCCTCAGCGTCTTCGTTCCTGTTCCTGTGACGGCAGCCGGTTCAATCCACTTCCTGGGTACCTCCAGAAAAAAGGCTCTGGATTCCCCCATTGTGTCGTTGCCTTGGCGATGAATCTGGGCGGTGGAGC